TGTAATTGTACCTGCCTGCTAAGCTAGTGATACTATAGGGAAGCATGTCCACACAAAGCTTTAGGCAGAGGTGGAGCTTGGTCTTAGTTAAACAGAATCTGTTTATTACATATTATTTTAGAACTAATTACAATACATTACATCTAAGATACACGATGGTTTCTTGAGTCCTCAGGGTTTGCTTAGTAGCAAGTTCACATTACACCTGCTAAAACAAACTAACTGCTAACAAACATAGAACTAGCAGCAGAACTTCAGGCTGGTTACACCTTCTGAGAAACAGTCCTTTATTTCCTTTTCCATTCTGATTTTTGGGCCCTGGGTACTGCTGATGAGGCTGGTCGGATTGGTTAATGATGGTGGTGATTGATGGGTTACCTTCCTGAGCTGTTGGCTAACAGAGAGCAGACGCTTTTTCTCCCTGTAACTCTCGCTGCTCTGGTGTTTGCGGAAGGTGGAGGACAATGAGAGCCTGAAACCCCCCCCTACAGGCCCTTCAGTCACTTGGTTGATGCATCTTTCCCAGCGGCCGCAGCAATCCAGCAGATGTTTGCCCATGGAAAGACAGTCAAGTGCTCCACCCTCGACCCCGTGTAACTCCACAACAGCTGTAGAGCAGCAGGCCAGCACGGGATTCTGGTGGGAGGGGTCATCTCTGCTGATGGTGCATGAACCAATGTTGTTTTGTGTCTCTTAACTGTCTCGTAAAGCAGCGCTTATGATAGGCTGTGTGTTTTGCCAGGGAAGAGGAGATAATGACCATTGGGGTCTCCCTAACCACAAGCTCAACCTACTACAGTACATCCGCACCTAAAGCTGAGCTGCTCAATAAGATGAAGGACATGCAGCAGCAGATAGAAGAGGAGGAGGACTCGGAAGATGAGCTGAACCATGACCTCACGGAAAAGAAGGTAACGCACCCGGCTATTTATTTGGCTCGTCTTCATTTAGTCTAGCAGCGGGGTGGTGCGGAGCTGTTGGAGCGGACAAGGGATTGGAAAGAGCTGTTGCTGACATACCCTTGGGTTACAGAGGGAGGAGAGGTCAGCGAGGTGAGGTTTACCAAGAGAGGGCATCGACAGAGGTAGAGCGTGGCTCACCAAGGCAGAGCCAACAATGGTAGGCACAGCACAGTGATGTCAGTGATCTGGTTCCAGAGCAGACACTATGTCTGTTTACTTGTTTAGCACAGGCATACTCCCAGAGCTGAGCAATTATCTTGTCAGTGCCGAGAAAAAGATTAGCCAGGCCTGGCTGCAGGTAATTCAACATGCTCCTCGACACAGTGAGTGAGTCATCGCCTAAATTGCCCCACAACTGGGAGGTGACGTTCTCATCAGAATGGAACCTTTACACAGCAGAATCATCTATACCACTGCTCTTCAAAAGCACCTGTGATGCTGCTTGACCTGCTGTGTTCATCCAGCTCTACACCTTGTTAGCTCTTAAAAAGCTTTTTTGTTTCTCCATTCAGATTCTCTGTTAATGGCCCTCATTGTTTTCAAAGTCATCTTACTTACGTAGAATTTACAAGCCAGGAAAACACCTTCCAGCTCAACTAGGCTGTTGGTCTGCTGACACTCCACACTGTCTCCCAGTGCACCCCCATCAACATATCTATCTCTTTCTTTCTCCATTAGGCACTTACCTCATTCACCCTTAAATACATACCTGCTTTTTGCCTCAAATACTTTGTAGGGTATCACGCTCCCCAATTCTGCAACATCCCAGCTTATGGTCTAAAAATAAGAGCACTGAAACCAGACTTTTGTGCCACTGATGTCGTTGTTGTGGATTCGGAAGCACAGTTTTAGCCACATGCCCTCATATTGTCATCGAAAACACAATCAGATAAATTGAATCAGAGACAGTAGGAACTGCAGATGCTGGAGAATCCGAGACAACAAGGTGCAGAGCTGGATGAACACAGCAGGCCAAGCAGCATCATGCTGTGTTCATCCAGCTCTGCACCTTGTTGTCTCACAATCAGATAAATGTCTCCTTTTACTAACAAACACCTACAACCATACAGTAACCGCAGTGACACTATCCAGACACGCACACTGATTTAAAAACACTCTCAAATCTCTGGTTCTCATTTCAACCTTTCACCAAAAACTCCATGTTTACATGCACACGCTCTGCAAACATGAATATTGAGATCATAAAACCCAATGACTCACAGTTATCCATTATTTGTTTAGTAATTTGCCTCATCTGGACTTCCAGTGAACCACGTGTGGCCTGTGCTTCATTTACTGATGTAGCAAAGGCTACAAATCAGCATCTCCCCAGGACTGAAATGCCTAAATTTTTAAGCTAAAAAGTAGCTTACTTTTTTCATAATGATGTGTATTAAAACTAGACTGAAGGGAGACCTCAGGCTGTGTTTTCTGTATGTTTCTTTTTCGATCTTTCTACTGCCAAGTCACATTTACCGAAAGTAAGAACTACGGCATGATAAGCTGCAAACGTAGCCACTTTGTTCCTCATTCGTGCCCAGTTTCATTTCCAGGTTATGTTTGGTCATATTTGTGGGTTACCAATGTTATTACTTTAACAAGGATTCACAGTGGAAAAAGCTGGAACAGCGAGGGATCCGAGTTGAAGTTAAACCATGTGAGATTGTTGGAAGATTCGGGCTTGAGGTGTGGAATTTCGATCATCTCGGGACGTGTTTTGTTTTTTTTTAGACGTCGGTCGTTTAAACGAGGTCTGGTTTTGTTCCCCACAGCAAGAGCTGATCGACAGCATAAGCAAGAAGCTGCAAGTGCTGCGTGAGGCCCGGGAGAGCTTGCAGGACGACGTCCAGGCCAACAATCTCCTCGGCAACGAGGTGGAGGCCATTGTCAAGCAAGTCTGCAAACCCAATGAGTTTGAGAAGTTCCGAATGTTCATCGGCGACCTGGACAAAGTGGTGAACCTGCTGCTGTCGCTGTCTGGACGGCTAGCCAGAGTAGAGAATGCCCTCAACACCTTGGACAAAGATGCCTCTCCGGACGAGCGGGTATGTGACTCTGGGACTCGCTGCCCTGTTTAAAGCTTGTAGGAGGACAAATGAAATCACCAGCATTATTATACAGCCTATTGATTACAGTGCTGCAGTAGAATTCCGGGACTGGGCTAATAGCACAGCGAACCATAAGATCGTAAGAAACACGAACGGGAGAGGACCATTTGGCCCCATGATCCTGTCTGCCATTCAATAGGATCAAGGCCAATCTGACATTCCTCTTACCCACTTTCCTGCATTTTACTGCATAGTTAATCTGCCTCAGCCTTAAATATACAAAAGGATCCTGCTCTAGCACAGAGTTCCAAAGACACTCAGCCCTCTGAGAGAAGAAATTCTTCCTCATCTCAGTCTTAAATTGGCCCCCCGCCTTAATTCTGAGACTATGCCCTCTGGTCCTAGACTTTCCCCATGAGAGGAAACATCCTCTCAGCATTTACCCTGTCAAACCCCCTTAAGAATCCTATATGTTTCAATGAGATCACCTCTCATTCTTCTAAACTCCAGTGAGTACAGTTTCAAACTGTTTAGACTTCGCTCATAAGGCAGTCCCTGTGCCGGGGATCATCCAAGTGAACCCTCTCTGAACCGCATCCAATAAAGTTTATTTATCTTTCCTTAAATAAGAGGACCAAAACTGTTCACAAGCTAGTACAATTACAGTAAGACTTCCCTCCTGTTTTACCCCCTGGAAATAAGGGCCAACAATCCATAAGCTTTCCTGATTACCTGCTGCACCCTTGTACTAGCTTCTTGTGTTTCATGCGTGAGATCCCGCCCCCAACAAGTCCCTTTGTGTTGCAGCTTTCTGCAGTTTTCCTCCATTTAAATAACGCTGTTCTTTTGTTCTCCCTTCCAAAATGAACAACTTCACATTTTCCCACGTTATCCTTCAAAGTGAATGCTATACCGATACAGCCATCTGAGTAAATTCCTGTCCTAAGGTGTCTGTGAGGGTACTTGAACTCAGTTTACAGAACTTGCAAATATACAGTTAGTATCAGTAACAAAAAATCACCAAGCTGTCAGAATTGTCCAAAAAGGTCAACCGGTTTACTTTAGGGAGGAAAGCTGCCACCCTTGCCCAGTCTGACTAGGATGTGGCTCCAGTCTTAAACCAAATGCGGTTGATTCTGAAGTTCCCTCTGAACTGACCTTTTGGCTTGTTCCAAAACACTACCAGCAGTTAAAGGAGAGTACCCACACCACCTTGGAGCAACATGGGAGAGACAGTGAAGATCAACAATGCCAGTGACACCATCTGAGTTTAATCACTGACATAATAATTTGCAGTTATACAGCCATAGAGATGTACAGCATGGAAAGAGACCCTTCGGTCCAACCCATCCATGCTGACCAGATGTCCTAAATTAATCTAGTCCCATTTGCCAGCATTTGACCCATATCCCTCCTAAACCCTTCCTATTCATGTACCCATCCAGATGCCTTTTAAATGTTGTAATTGTACCAGCCTCCTCCACTTCCTCTGGCAGCTCATTCCATACATGCATCACCAAGTTGCTACCAGAACTCAGCGAACACTGCAGGAACTCAGCAGGTCTGGCAGCATCTCTGGAGAGAGAAACAGAGTTAATGTTTCTAGTCCAGTGACCCTTCTTCAGAGCCCTCTTTTTCATTGCTCTAAATAAGAAGCATACTGGACTCGAAAAGTCAACTTTGTTTCTCTCTCTGTCTCTCCACAGGTACTGCCAGACCTGCTGAGTTTCTCCAGCGTTCTGTGTTGGTTTCAGATTTCCAACATCTTCTGCACTTTGCTGTGGTGATCCACTGAATACGATGATTCCACTGTTTACAGAAATATTCATTAATATTAAGTACTAACTCTCATTATTTCAGGGACTTAGCCATGTATTGCATTGCAGACATTTAGAGCATGTCGCCCTGACATTGGAAATAATGATTTTATTTTAGGGGTACCAGCTGAAGATAATTTTAGGATCACAGATGTCAAAAATTGAAAGAGATCAACAAATTTGGATTCCTTGTTCTGGCATTTTTGTGCATCCACTGGTCAGTGCTAGCTGTAGAATTAGGAATAGGAAAGAACTTGCATTTATACACAACCCACTTGCATTTATACAGCACCTTTCACCATAAAAAGATGTCACAGGACATTTTAAAACTACGAAATATATTTCAAGCCATGGCTGTACTTGGTACTGCAGTGGCTCAATTGCACATAGCAGGATCCCACAAACATCAGTGAAGCAATCACCAGATCAACTTGTGTTGTTAGAATCATAGAATCCCTACAGTGTGGAAACAGGCCCTTCGGCCCACACCGACCCTTGGAGCACCCCGCCCAGACCCATTCTCCTATAACCCACCTAATCTATACATCCCTGAACACTACAGGCAATTTAGCATGGCCAATCCACCTAGCCTGCACATCTTTGGACTGTGGGGGGAAACCAGAGCACCCAGAGGAAACCCAAGCAGACACGGGGAGAATGTGCAAACTCCACACAGACAGTCGCCCAAGGGTGGAATCGAGCCCGGGTCCCTGGCGCTGTGAGGCAGCAATGCTAACCCACTGAGCCACAGTGTTGCCCATATGAAGAATAGATATTGGCCAGACAACCAGGATGATCTCTCCTGCTCTTCAAACTGGTGTCCTGGAATCTTTTACTTTTACCTGGGAAGGCAAACCCAGTTTCAGGTTAACATCTCATTCAAAGGGCACACACCTGACAGTGCAGCATTCCCAGAATGACAGCCTGGATACTATGCACATGTGGCTCGGATGTGAGGCTTGAACTCACAACAATTCTGGCTCAGATATGAGCGTGCTACCCACTGAAACAAAAATAGCACCAAAAATCCAAAGCTCTCCTGAACTCTTGAGTTGGCCATGTACAATGCCCAAAGTGCGGGTCACCTCCACAGATCAGGAATATCTCCACTCCAGGGAGAATAACCAGCCCCAGACCCTACATAGGAACAGTGTCCAATGATTGCTGCTAGCAAACCCACTGTGCATGTGGGGGACTCCAGAAATGCCTTTTCCGGTTGAGGACACACTGAGCTGATCTGAGAGAGTGCAGCTCACCATCAGTCAGAAACCCCAACCCAACAAACAACGCCCCAACTCTCTGGAGAGTAGAGAATAGCAGGGAGTCAGTATTGAACCAAGAGTGAGTGGATTTGCCTTGCTTTATGCAGAAGTGATCAGGATGATATTCTAGTGTATAGTAAGTGACTACAGAAAAGTGTGGCCTTCAACTTCTCCCCCATTCTGTGAATTGTTGCGATCATTTGAAATTTGGCATTCTTGTGTATATCCTGGTAAGTGCAAATGAAAAAGATTTGGCAATCTTGTCTCTCTTCAGCAATCCGCAAGTGATTTCTTTTTTTGTTTTCTTTTTTGCAGAAGACCCTCACTCAGAAACAAAAGCTCCTCACAAGACAGCATGAAGATGCAAAGGAGCTGAAGGAGAACTTAGACAGGAGGGAGGGGGTGGTGTTTGACATTCTCTCTAGTTACCTGACAGACGAGGTCCTCCAGGACTACGAGCACTTTGTGAAGATGAAATCGGCCCTTATTATCGAACAAAGGGAGCTGGAGGACAAGATCAAACTGGGGGAGGAGCAGCTGAAGTGTTTGCTGGAGAGCCTGCCTGTCGATGGCCACCAAAGTAGAAACCCATATACTGGACACTGAGTTACCATCAGTGTGCGCTCCCCTCTTTCTGTCCGTGTGTGTGTGTGTGTGTGGTATAGCTGGATCTGTCCACTGGGGGAGCTCAGCGTGGGAGGAATGACTTGAGACCATGATTCTGAGCATCAGTTTTCTATGCGGAACCGAGTTCTGTCATATTGAACCTATAATATTTTTTAAACTTCTGGATATGTAGTCACACATCTAACATTCTATTTGCTACCACAACAACCACTTCCCGCTCCCCCCCTCCCAAAACCCTCCAATGCCAATTTGTCCTGTTTTTACCTGAGAAGCGTGAAAATGAAAAAGAACGGCTTCCTCATTGATTTTGAGCAAGGTTCAGATACTTTTGTTCCCATATGGTTTTATTTCCTTTTGGATAAGTATGACACATTCATAAAATGATGTGATAACTGGATATTTTTTCTTTAAAAAAAGAATGTGCATTAAATTAATTTATTGTAGCATTTATTAAAGTAAATAAGGTGATTACAGAAGCCAACAGTGTTTCTTTGGAGTCAATCTTGAACACGTCAATCTTTTATTTCCTAGGTTACAGATCTTTACACTCAAACCGAGTATCATGACATGTCTCTTAAGCCTTTTGCCTAAGTAAACTATCTTTTACATTTCTGAAGAAGGGTCTAGGCCCGAAACGACAGCCTTCCTGCTCCTCTGATGCTGCTTGGCCTGCTGTGTTCATCCAGCTCTACACCTTGTTATCTTTTACCACCACCAGCAGGGTCTGTGTTTGGCCTTCAAATGTGCATTTTTAAAGACTTGGGTCAGCTTTTGGAAAGAAACAGCCAAATTGTGTGCCTCAAAACGGTTCTACTTTTATCTTACAATAGGCTTCAATCTTGTCAAGACTGTCAAGGAGTGAAAGGATGTTTCAAACTAATCATATATGGTCAGTGTAATCAGGCAAACACTTAAGGTTCTGTCAACAACTAAACATTGTCGAGGAGATTTTAATTTTAGCTGCTGAAGATACACTGCCAGGTATTCTGAAATGTATTCTAGAAAATTGCAGGTTATGACACTGCAGCTTTGTAAAACCAAAATAGCCAAATATACGGTGCTGCTTTGCGTTAATTGTAGTGCACTGCCGGAAGTCTAACATTACTGTTTGTAATATACAACACACACAATCAGGAGCTCACCAGTAAGGGTAAGGATTTGGGTTCTGTTTACAAACAAAGTAGACAAAGATCTTTTCCGAGTCTTTTAAGTGCCATTCAAAAAACAGCATCCAAACCACAATGCGTTGCAGGCAGAATGACCTGCATATGAAGAGTTTGAACATTGGAATGGCTTGGCTGCCTCTCTGTCTAGCACTTAGTTTCAGATACTGAGTGGGGCTTTGCCAGTTTGCAAACAGTTGACATTTTAAAAGTCTATCTCTGTTACTTTTGCCTGAATGCACTTCTTGCCAACTGTGTGCAGCTTGGATGTTTCTACCTGTGCCTCTGTAAACTAGGCACTGTGGTGGCAGCAGATTGTAATTACAGTGTGATAAGTTTCCATTGTCAATGTGCACACAGGGACAGAGTCTGTGCTTCTCAAATGGGACCAATTTAATGATGCCTGCATTCCTCAGCCCTGTTATCCTCCACCCTCTATGCTTCTCTCACCTGAAGGCTGCACTGGGTAAACTTGCTGAGTACTATTGGTGTCACTCAGTCTATTACAGCATTAGAGTTAGCTCCCCAGTAAAAGGTCTGGCTATTGACGCCACACGATGAAATATTTTGTTCAATGGCTTGTTTTGAACCTTTGTGCACCCTCCCTTGTGAGGAAGCAAAAAAGGGGGAGATGTCAGTAATTGGAAGAGTGTGAATTTTCATTCTGTTGCTGTGTAAGATGGCCAGGATTTCCACCACAGGAGATTCCCACACCACAAACAGCAATGATGCCGTGATATATTTTAGTGACGTGGATTGAGAGGGGCAGAAAACTCTCTTGAAATAGCGAGTTTGATCTTTCACGTGGAAGGGCGGACATGTCCTCAGTTTAAAAGATGAGAGAGACTGGAAATGATGGGGAACAGCCTTATTACTTCAGTCAAACCTGCAATGGTTTGTCATTAATGTGGCCACCACTATGTAACCGTTCATTGTAACCTCTAACCAGTGATTTTCCACTCTCCTCCAAGGGCAGTTCCCACTGCTGGAGTACAATACCACAAGTGCTTACCTTCCATTGGTCTACAATGTGTGAATGTCACATGGGTTGTTTGACTGTTGGACCTCCCAGCCCAGAGGTAGGGTACTGCGTTGAGCAAACTGAAAGCAATTAACCCGGCTAACTAATGAATCACCACTGTAACGAAAAAGACAATTGTTTTGACATCTGTATGAGCAGTCGCCAGTTAAACTCACCGTAGCAATTACTTGTATTCCATCTCCTTAATCCTGCTATCATATATCTCCGTGGCAACATTGCAATTCAGCTTCAGGTCAGCTCATTCTGATACCTCTTCCGGCATTCATCACAGAATCACAAAATTGTAAGTGCACGAGGCCATTTGATCCATTGTGCCTAGTATCTGCATTTTCCCAGTATCTCTGTGTACAGTTTCAATCCAAACTAAAATCCAATATCCTCTGGAATGCCTCAGTTGAACCTGCCCCTGCCAGGCACTGCGTTCCATACCCAAACCACTGGCTGTGTGAAAATGATTGATCTTGCTCATGTCACCCTCTGCTTTGTTTGTGCATCACTTCCAATCTTTGCCATCTGTTGTTGTTCCTTAAAGGAACAGCTTCTCCCTATCTATTCTATCCAGCCCACTTATGATTTTGAAACCCCTCAATCAAATATCCTCTCAGACGCCTTCCCTTGAAGGAAAACCAGTCCCAACTTCACCAATCTTTCCTCCTAACTGAAAGTTTATCATTCCTGGAACCGT